GATCAAATACATAATAGATAGTCCAAAACCTCCTTCCATTTCCAGAACCTAAAAACCATGAAGATAACCACAGTGAGCTAACAGTTCCATAAGACTACACACACTGATCAAAATCTCTAAGAACTCTCATATCAAAATACCCACAAAAAAACTTTAAAAATAGTTTATTCAAATAGTCGTACAAAATTCAGACAATTGTATAGAAATTATATAATCAAACATAATGCATATATGCGTACTGAACAGATAAACAAACATTCTTTAGATATTCCTACAGAACAAATCAGATGGAAATCAAATAACATATATAGAAGAACTGAATCAAATTTGTATCACAAAATCGTATAAATCACAAATCACATTTTTTTCAAATTACATATCAGATCACATATCCCTGACCTAGACAGAATCTCAAAGGATTCTGGCCCCTTATTCCTCCCTTCCCTGAAACACACAGAATCTCAAAGGATTCTGGCCCCTTATGCCACCCTTTGTGCTTACAACACCAGAATATATCATATATAAAAAATTATCAAATCAGAATTCATTTTCATATTTCCGGACCCAGACAGAATATCAAAGGATTATGGCCCTTTGTAACTCCCTTCTAATATCATTCAAATCAAATCAAACATCAAATCATCATATCAAAACAAACATGGAGTAATTGAGCACTTATCAAAATTTTACATTTTCGTATAGCGATTGACGATAGAAAGCCAATAAATCAAAAATGCACAATTCCAAAAAATCACCAAATTACCAAAGATCGTGTAAAACGTCATTTCAAAGCTTTTATTGTACTGAAGCAATATTTTTCAACATCCAGATAATTTTCTATTCAATAAAAACTCTGTAGAATTTAAAATACCTGGTGAAAAACTTCCAAAAAATACTCAAAACGTGTAAAATTACAATCTCTACAATATACCAAAAGTTACGCGGCAAAAGTTATACCCGTTTTTCGTTAACGAAATCAAATTTTTAAACAAAAAATCTGTAAAAAATCATATTTCTGAAAATTGAAAAAGGTATAATGTGCCTTACCTCGAGTCGATCAACTTTCCCAACTACGACGACGGACGAAAATGAACCGAGATGCTCAAAATGTAGATTTCTTCCTCTTTACCTCCTTTTTCTCTCTCCTACTTTTCTCTCTCTTCAAAAAAATCTTAAATCATCTATTTAATGAACTCAATCATCCAGACGATGCTCTTCGTTCGTCCCGGGATGATCTTCTCTAGACATAGATCGTACCGACGATATCTGACTTTCGTCCCTAGACGATGTTCTCAGGTAAAAATTTTTGTTCTATTTGTCCAGATGAACCTGCACTTTACTCAGTTCGTCCAGACAGTTCGTCAAACTAACCATACAGATTTTCAACATTTTCTTCAGTTTGGATAGACGGTTCTTCCGTACTAACAGCACAAAAAATTTTCTTTTTTTTCCAAAAACATAAGTTGAAAGTTAATGGGTTTCACAATCTACCCACCTTAAGAAAAATGTTGTCCTAGACATTTCCAAAGAAAAACTAAGTCAGAGCAGGCTTGGATACAACTGTCTCATATCCGATTCCTTTTCCCAAGTAGCCTCTCTTGTCGTTCTATGCTTCCACTGAACCTTAACCATAGGAATATGTTTACTTCTCAGCTTCTTTACATCAAATGCCAAAATATTTTCAGGTTCATCTCTGTATTGTAGATTCTCCTGAACCTCAATATCATCAGCAGAAAGTTTCTTTCCAGAATCAGATATCCATTTTCTCAAAGAGGATACATGAAACACATTGTATATATCAGACATCTGATCAGGCAATAACAACCTGTAAGCAGAATTGTCAACCCTTTCAATGATCTCAAAAGGTCTGACATACCTTGGATTGAGTTTGCTCACTCTTCCAAATATACTAACACCTTTCATAGGACTGACTTTGACATACACAAAGTCTCCAATCTGAAATTCAACCAGTCTGTGCTTCTGATTATAATACTTCTGCTGTCTATTTTGTGCAGATTTCAAACTTTCTTTAATTAGATTGATCTTCATTACAATATCATCTACAAAAGCTGAACCCATCACTTGTCTATCTCTCACATCTGTCAAAGTCAAAGGAGTTCTACACTTTCTACCATATAGAGCTTCGTACGGTGCCATACCAATACTTGATTGATAACTGTTATTATATAAAAATTCTATCAGTGGGATATGATCTTCCCAACTGCCTCCAAAATCCATAACACATAATCACAAAAGATCTTCTAGTACCTGAATAGTCCTCTCAAACTGTCCATCAGTCTGTGGATGAAAAGCCGTACTGAAATGCAACTTCATACACAAACCTTGTTAAATACCTCTCCAAAGTCTGGAAGTAAATCGGCCATCCCAATCAGATACAATCACTTTCGGCACGTCGTGTAATCTAATAATTTCTTTAACATAAATCTGAGCTAACTTATTCACCGGACTCGTCTGTTTGATCGGAAGAAAATGAGCAGACTTCGTCAATCAATCAACAATCACCCAAATTGCATCATGTCCTTGCCTTGATCTAGGGAATCCCATAGCAAAATCCATTATTATCACTTTCCACTTCCACTCAGGGATAAGCTATAACTGGAGAAGACCTCCCGATAGCTGATGTTCTACCTTCACTAACTTGCAGGCATTATATTTCAAAACAAATTTAGCTATATCCTTTTTCATTCCAAGCCACCAAAATAAGCTTTTCATATCTCCGTACATCTTACCACTTCCTGGATGAATAGTATAGCCTAAATAATAAATTTTTTGTAGAATCTCTTTCCTCATATCTCCAGACATAGAAATCCACATCCTATTCTTACAAAAAATAATACCATAATCAAAAATTCATAATTCAGGTTTCTTACCAGATTTGATCTGATCAATTAACTTCAAATATTTTTTATCTGACTTCTGGCTTCATGAATCTTTTCTTCTAAAGAGGGTTGAATAATCATCTTAGTTATTATTCCAGAATCAGTAGGAGATAATACCTCCAATTGTAATCTTTTCATATCTTGTATCTGATACTCATCAGAAATGAGCTGTAAACATGATAATCCAGAAGACTTCCTGCTCAGAGCAACTGCTACCACATTAGTCTTACCAGGAAGATACTAAATAATCAAATCATAATCCTTGATCAACTCAAGTCATCTTCTTTGCCTCAAATTTAGATCTTTTTGAGTGAATATATACTTCAGACTCATATGATCCATGAAGATCTCACACCTAACACCATAAAAGTAATGACGCCAAATCTTCAAAGCTTATATAACAGCAGCCAATTCAAAATCATGCGCCGGGTAGTTCTTTTCATGTGGTTTCAACTGTCTTGAAGCATAAGCTATTATCCAACCATACTGTATTAGAACACAACTAAAACCTTTCAGTGAAGCATCACTGAATACTTGAAATCCTTCTGTACCAAAGGGAAGTGCTAACACTGGAGCAGAAGTCAAACAATCCTTCAATTTTTAAAAACTAACTTCACACTCTGGTGTCCAAATAAAAGCTACTAACTTCTGAGTCAGTCTCGTCAAAGGTGCAGATATATGAGAAAATCCCTTCACATTTTTTTTATAATAACCAACCATGCCCAAGAAACTATGTATCTTAAACACCGTAGTAGGCCTTAGCCAATTAGCAACTGCTTGAATTTTCTGGGGATCGACAGAAATACCTTTACTTTACTACATGTCCTAGAAAAGAAATGTTTTTCAACTTGAATTCACACTTGGAGAATTTTGCATACAACTGGTGTCGTCTCAGAGCCTCCAACACAATTCTCAAATGTCTGGCATGCTCTTCTTTAGAAGCAGAATATACAAAAATATCATCTATGAAGATGATCACAAATTGATCAAGATAATCTTTGAATACACTGTTCATTAGGTCTATAAAAATAGCTGGTGTGTTGGTTACCCCAAATGGCATAACCAAAAACTCGTAGTGCCTGTACCGAGTACTGAAAGCTATTTTCATCACATCTGCTTCCCTTACCTTCACCTGATAGTAACCAGATCATAAATCAATCTTTGAGAATATAGAGATCCAGTAAGTTGATCAAACAGATCATCGATCCTTGGTAATGGATACTTATTCTTTATTGTGACTTTATTCAATTCTCTGTAATCAACACACATACGTATTGTACTGTCCCTCTTCTTTATAAATAAAATATGTGTGCCCTAGGGTGAGACACTCGGATGAACAAATCCTCTATCCACCAACTCCTGAAGCTGGACTTTCAACTCCGTAAGTTCTTTTGGTGTCATCCTGTACAGAGCTTTAGATATTAGAGTTGTACCCGAAAATACATCAATACAGAACTCAACATCTCTATCCATAGGTAAACCAACAAACTCCTCAGGAAAATATCTAAAAAATCTTGTATGACTGGGATATCAAAAATAGAACCCATATCTATATTCATATCCCAAACTGATGCAAAAAACACCATACAACCCTTCTTCCACAATCTTCTTACTTCCAACATAGAAATCAAATAGGAAAAACACCTCTTAATCCTTGAAATACCCATCTTTCACCATCTATAAACAATATAACTTGCTTTTTCAGATAATCAATCTGAGTCTCATACAGACTCAGCCAATTCATACCCAAAATAACATCATATGAAGAAATTGACAGCAAAATCAAACAGGACTTCCACTTCTTTCCAGAAATTTCAATCTCACATAAATAAAACTTTCAGGCTATTAAATTATTTTCAGCCGGCAAAATAATACAAAGCGAAACAGGTAACGTAACGAAAGCCAGTTGCAAAGCATCAAAATAGTGCTCGAAAATAAACGAATAACAAGCTCTAGAATCAGACAAAACATGACAGGGATATTCAGAAATATAAATCATACCTGTCACCACATCTGGAGCATCTCGAGCTTCTTGCTAATTCAAAATGTAAACACGTGGCTGAGCTAGAGCTGGAGCTATAGAACTACTAGGCTTCCTTTTAAAAGTTTGTTAGGGATGTTAGGCCCTATGAACTAGTCCCAAGGCTAACCAAGAGGGAGGTGAATTGGTATTTTTAAAAATTATTTAAAACCAAGAACAAATATCACAAATCAAAATCACCACGGTGAAAACAAGTGCGGAAAATTAAAGTGCTGAAGCAGTAGAAAGAACACAAGGGTTTCTAGTGGTTCGATCAACTTGACCTACGTGCACTCTCCAGAGGTGCCCTCTGAGTATTGAACTACCAACGTGACTCTCCTTTAGCCTTCACAGCTAGGCGGAGAAGCCCTTACAAAACACCTCCTTTTTGCCACACCCGGCAAGGCAAAGAACCCAACTCCATTTGCGTCCTGCTGAAGCAAGTAGAGAACCTCGATCTATTGCTGAAGCTTACCTCACCCAATGCTTCCAAGGATAAGAGAATCGAGGGAAGAAGAAGTGGAACAATGCTTGGAACAACCCTTATGAACTCCTTCACAAGCTCTCCCTCATAAGATCTTCTCTCTCTCTCTCCCTCTCTCTCTCCTTTAGGTTTTCTCAGGTCAAGATAGCAGCCAAAGATCTTCAAAAATGTTGGACAATAGCTCTTAAATAAATGAGCTTCAAAGGAGTTTAATAATTGCAAGTTTCTAACTTTATCGTCCAGGCTAATAATAATATCATCCTGTATGATTAGTTCAAAAGACAGATGATCGGCCATAACATTGCCATGAAGATGATCTGGACAATTGAAAATTGGCTTGATTGTCCAAGCCGATCTCACAATCATCCTGGACGATTAGTTCAAATCAGAGGAAAATCATCCAGAGCATCGCCCTAAATTTGAGCTGGCTGATAGTTATCATACAGGAGTAACTAAGGGTTTTTGAATAGATCGTGATGGCCGATCCTGCGATCTTCTAGGAAGATGTGATTGTATCAATCATCCTTAATTACTTCCTTGATTCCTGGATCAATTTAGGCATAATTGAGTAATATCATCCAGACCGATCTCACAATCGTCCCGGCCGATTTTCAAAAATACAGAATACCTAAATATATTATGGAGGCTATTTCTTTCTCTATTGAGCATATCGTCCAGGCCGATAAGTTAATTACGGCAACCTTAACTAAGAAATCTTGATTAGAACTTCTGTTTTGAACTCGATCGTCCGGGACGATGTGAGTAAAAACATAATTTCTAAATCTCTCAAATGTGCGTGTGTAGTGTTACTTAACATCAGTCACTTCAAACATTTAAAATTGACTCAAGAAAGGAAAAAAAGAAAATTACATACTAACTCAACCCTAATCTACCCAGTCTTGAGCTGATTCTGATTTCTGTCCGATCTTTGAGTCCTGGAAAGTCAGTAGAGAAAAGGCAGTCATATTGTTTGCTATCATCAAAACCATAATCCATGAAACCAAATCTGTAATAATTCCCCCCTTTTTGATGATGGCAAACACTCCAATGATTATTTCAAAAATAGTAGTGTAAAATAAAAATTTAGAATAAAAGTTCAAACATACAACCCTACTAACATGTAACCCTACTACTCCACCTTTTAACATCTCAAAAAGGAGGAGGAAAGCAAGAAACAAAGTAAACAAATTTTTTTTATAACCAAGGCATGAACAAGATGAAGTATTCCATGTGAATTGATTTTAAAAATTTATGAGCTAATGAATCAACATCAAAAAATCCACAAAACAGTATAATATCCGATCATGGTTACCCTTAGCTCGGACTTTCTTTTAGGGTAGAATCGACTTGGAAATCAAGGATCTAATCTCAAAAATTCAATTGGGTATGAAAAAAAAAATCCATTCATCACTTGATTTTAGAAAAAAAATATCTTATAGAATAATGTACCAAAGTAAATCTGTCACAATCGCAAAATACTCGAAATCAAGCCTTTGATACATGAAATCTTCTAAGTTTTAAAAGATTTGAAAGGAGAAGAGAGCTTGCTTTTGCGGGGTCATTTTATGCCTCTTATCAATTGATTGGTTCTTTGCGCATCTTTTCCTTTTTGATTTTTTTTTCAATTTGGTGTCATTGCGCATCTTTTGTTGGCATCATTGACCATAATTTTTAT